AAAGAGATGTTGGTACATGAAGGTTGAATTGCTGTGAGTTTATACTAAAGCTGTGCACGTTTTCTTCTGATTATGTTTTCTCAGTGAAGGAAGAAGCAAGGCTATTAGTAAGAATTGGGAAAGGGTGAGAAGGAAGATTGCATGATGGCCAGACAACAGTGTCCATCAAGTTAACATAAAGCCCAGTACTTGGTAGGCACTCTACACGCAGATTCCTTTCTTTCTGCAGATAATCACTTTTTAAACCAACCAGTTGCTGCTGAGTTAATTCAGGGTAGCCTCCTATGTCAGAGTTGATTTGATTTTGGAAATAGGCTTTGACCCCACCCCCATCCCACCTTGTAATTATCAGCACCATAATCTAATGAAACCACTAAGAGACTTGACTACACTCACCAGGGTTTCTTTAAATTGTAAATTAGATCTCACCCATTCTTCTTAAAATCCTTTGGTAGCTTTCTGTTGCACTTAAAACGAAATGCAAACTCTACATCCCATTCAACAAAATCCTACACAGTAGCACCTACCTCCTTTCTAACATAAGGCCCAAGACTCCGGCTCCCTGGGCTTCTTTGTTTTCTGAAAACAAGTTAAGTGCGTTTCTGGCTTAGCCTTCTGTACTAGCTGGGCCTTCTGTTTGTGATCTCTTTCCCCTTATATTCAGAGTTGGCTCTCTATCACTCATTTTATCTTAAATATCACCTCTCAACCCTTTGGGTTGTTATTGTTGTTATTAAGTGCCATTGAGTCGAGTATGACTCATAACAACCCTATGGACAAAAGATCTAAACTCTATCCTGTGCCATCCTCACACACAAGAGCCCATTGTAGCAGTCACTGTGTCAATCCACCTGGTTGAGGGTCTTCTTCTCCTTTACAGACCCTCCACCCTCCCAGCATCATACCCCTCTCCAAGGAATAGCCCCTCCTAGCAAAACGCCCAAAGTATGTGAGTCGAAGCCTCATCATCCTTGCCTCCAAAGAACACTCTGGCTGCACCCTCTCCAAGACATATGTGTTTGTTCTTTTGCAGGCTGTGAGCTGTTCAGTGCTCTTCTCCAACACCACAGCTCAAAGGCGTCAATTTTTCTTTTGTCAACCCTATTCATTGTCCAGCTCTCAGATGCAAAGAGAACTCCTTTGGATTACCCAAATGAAAGTAACCTCCAATGGTTTGCTTACATTTTTTTAAATACATTTTATATTCTTAGTATATTTTGATTGGTCTCTTGGCCATTTTACTGGCTGTTTTGGCATCTAGAATTGTACCGGGTCACATGATAGAGGGCTAATGAAAGTCAGTCATTGCCATTGATTCACAACTGACTCATAAGACCCTTCAGCGGATTTTCACAGGTTGTAACTCATACAGGGAGTGATTGCCTGTCTTTCTCATCGGAGAAGCTGGTAGATCTAGACCCCTGTCTTTATGTTAGTAGCACAATTCCTTAGGTCTAGGCTACCAGAGCTCCCTAATAGATGCTCAACCAGTATTTATTGAACTAAGTAAATTTGAGTGAGCAAATGAACACATAGATTAATAGCTAACAGTGAAAAAGAATTTAAGTCTTTGACTAAAAGCATTAATTTGTCTTACTTATTTTGACTATTTGTTCCACTTGCCCTATGGAAAAGAGTAACAATTACAGTTGAAACAGCAAATATTATGAATGTCAAACTGGTTTGTTGCTGGTAGGACAGTTCAACATTAATCTCTTTCTAATTACATTATTGTACAGGTCTTTTCTGCCCTCAGTTGGCTGAATCTCTGCTTATTTTATGATAAACTCAATTTTTAGAAGAATATTTTTTTAGCCATGTAAAAGTGAGGATAAAAGAATACAAGTCCAAGTGTGAGAGGGAAAACGTGGCAGAGACTGGAGAGCATTATGTCGAGTAAATGAACTCTCAGTCTATATGACAAATACTACGTAAGACCATTATTGTAAAAATAGAAGGCTATCTAGTAAGATGTGTATGAAGGTCCAAAGGGAGAAAGTGTGAGCAGAGGGGTGATGATGGGTAGGGGAGAGATCACAGATTGTACAATTTGATGAGTGGAGGGAAGAGGGTAAAGGAAATGGAAAAGATACAGAGGAGACATGAAAAGATGGGGTAATGCAACTACAATCCCAGAGGTGCACGGTTCGAATCCACCGGGTGCTCTGCCGGGGAAGGAGGGACAATCTCCTCCTGTACCAGTCAGATCTGATTTGACGGTACACACACACAAAAATTAAAAAAAAAAGAAAAGATGGGGTAATGGTGGGCATAATTCAATGGGGATTAAGCTTATGAAACACAATATATAGGAATGATTGTATGAAACGCAATGTATATGAATTTTGCATGCAAACCAATATAAATAATTTTTTAAAAATACACATGAAAAATGTTAATCAAGTAGCGTTCAATTTGAAGTTAATTTGATATTATATATAGTTTTCTTTATCACTTTTCAGAGGCACTGTTTCCCTGGTGACAAAAATTGATTCATTGACTCTTAACTCTTAAATTCAAATTGTCTTAATGCAGTGAGGGCTTTCCTCAATCTTCAAATATGCTTCTGCTTGTAGCAAATTCAATGGGATTCCTACTGTCCTTGTTTTCCTTGGGTAATTAATTGTATAAGTGAGTAATACCATTAATCTTCTTGCATATGATAGTTCCCTCTAGAACCCTTGCTTAACTTACACACTTCACACATTCTTTGGTCAGTTTACATAGTAAAGGCTTCTCATATTTTATTTGTAAAATGTTTTCCAACTTTCTTCCAGTCAAGACATGCCCTGGGCCTCTGTTGTTGTTGTTGTTGTTGTTAGATGCTGTCAAGTCCAGTAGAGCTCATAGCGCCCCTGTGAACAACAGCATCGCACTCCGTACTATCCTGTGCCATCTTTCCAATCTCTGGCACACTCAGGCCCATTGCTGCAGTCACTGTGTCAGCCCATCTGGTTGAAGGTCTTCCTCTCCTTCACTGCTCTTCAACTCAATATTGTAGCCACTGTGTCTTACTGAGAGTCTCCATTTTAAACAAGCATTAACTGTTGGTCCAAAAAGAATTAAAACCTTAACAGCTTCAATTTGTCCACTGATTTATCATGGCGTTGTTTATCAGTCCAGTTGTAAGGATTTTAATTTTATGTTTAGGTGCAATTCATAGTGATTTTTTCCCCCCTTTTTACCATCACCAGTAAATGCCATTTACGGCCTCTGAAAAGCTGGTAGAGGGTTCAGCTCTGAGTTGATTCTGACTCCACAGCAATGAGTTTTGTTCTAATGGTACCCCTAAGTACTACAGTGCTGTTTTCAATTCCGACAAGCAAGTTTATATCACTTGCATATGTCAGATTGTTCATTAGTCTTCCCTCCAATTTTGATGCTGCATTCTTCTTCATAATAGCCCAGCTTGGATTATTTGTTCAGCATATAGATTGATTTATTAATTAAGGCTGTTGTTGGCAATTGAAGGAAGACCAAGGGATTTTGTTATGAGGGTGCTATGAATGGCATGGTTCTGGAAAAAGCCTGAACTTGTCAGGAATGTTCTCATTTTACATATGGATATACTTAGCAGAGGATGGTTTCGATCCATCGACCTCTGGGTTACGGGCCCAGCACGCTTCCGCTGCGCCACTCTGATGGCCCATATGGATATACTGAGTTCTCAATGTTTTAGGTCATTAATTATCTGAATTAACAATCTTCTTAAGATCTCCTATATTAGAAGAAATAGTCATTTGGCTTCACCTTGCAATTTGGTCAATCTTCCTTCTTTGCAAATGAGTGATTTTAATTTTTTAAAAGTCTTAAGCATATCAGAAATTAGCCTTATGATTTGATTTTTAATTTAGTTTGAATTAAGAGGACTATTTTTCTACTTCTCTTTCTCTCTCATTGCCGTGGAACCAGAACTGAGTCAGAGCTGACCCTTCAATAGTTTTCTGAGGCTATCCGTGTATGGGAGGAGACTGCCTATTGTTCTTCCTCAGAGCTGCTGATGGATTCAAACGAACACATTTTAAAGTACATAAAAGATACAAAAAGCAAAAGGTGAAAGTCTTCCTCAATCTTAGTTCCTATATGCACAAGGGCTAACATGCGCTTCATCCAAAAACCATGCCATTTTCAATTGCCTCATAAGCAGATCACTGGTGGTATAGTCTGGAGGAACTTTGTGATGCTAGCCCAGAGGTGATACTTCTTTGGCAGTTCAAATATACTAGAGGTTCTGTGAGATAAAAATGGGCAATCCCCTTCCCAATAATTTACAGTACCTAAAAACCTGCTAGAAGGTCAGCTATGAGTTGATTTCTACTTAATGGCAATGAATTTGAGATTTTTTGCAATTCGGAAGCAGATAGAAAATGAATGTGGGAGACCAAAGAAGAATTGATGTCTTTGAATTGTGCTGTTGGTGAAAAATATTGAATATACCAGAGATTGCAGAACAAGCAGATTTATTTGGAAAGAAGTACAGTCACAACAGTCCTGAGACTGGTGAAGATGGCTAGACTTTGTCTCACACACGTTAGGCTGTTCCTTGGAGAAGGGCATCATGCTTAATGGTAGAGAGCCGGGGAATAAAGAGGAAGACCCTCCAGATGGATTGGTACCATGGCTACAGAAATGGGCTCAAACATAGCAAGGTCAGAAAAGCGCTGGATCAGCCAGGGCTTTGTTCTGCTGTGCAGGGTGAGTGTGACCATCCAAGGTCCACCAGAAACCCCAAACAAAGCAAACGTGTGAGACGTCAGGGAGATGTGCCATCTTGAGGTTCTGAAAAGAACTTTGAAATGTGCAGTTGTTAGAAAGTACTGGTTATTTCAGTTACTTAGCTTACTTGCCAAGCTTAAAGGGAAGTGAACCCAGAATTATGTGTTGAAGGATAGTGTAATACAAAAAGGAATAGTTTAAAATATTATTATTTAGCTATATATAAAAGCTGATTTTTTTTAACCAAGGAGTGTTGTTCAGAGAGCAATGGACATGATACTCACGCTTTTGCTAGCTCCACAGATATTTGTTCCAAAGAGCAGCCCTTTGTCTGAGGTATAAACAGAACAACAAAAACCAGGGCGGCTAGACTCATTATTGTATACATAAAGCACACCCACGGCAGGCCAATTAGTTCTGTAAAAGACAAAAGAAATTGGTTAGAAATGTGTTTTGAGTTGCTTTTATCCCATTTGACAGCTGCTTTCTAGAATCCACAGGATCACGTGCATTTTCAGATACGCCATTCATATCCAGGGCAATAGAACTCACAAAGTCAATACGCAGTCAGACTCAGAAAGTTTCATTTGTACAAACAACTCCAACGCACTTGAGTAACTAAACAGCTGTCTTATAACTATCACACTTCAAACCATTACCATCTTGGTGGATATGCTTTTCTTTTTCAAAATACCACGATATATACACATACATTTATTTTTATAATAAATAAATATATGGATAGGAAATATCCTTTTGAGTGATTGACTGCCTCTGACACCCCATTGGAGGATCAGCTATGAGCTGATTCTGACTTTACAGTACATAACAAGTAGGTCTTTGCAATTTCTTGCTATGCATCAGAAAGCTGGACAATGACTAGGGATGATAGAAGAAGAATTGATGCCTTTGACCTGCGGTTTTGAGAAGAGTATTGACTATACCATAGACTGCTAGGAGAACAAACAAGTTCATCCTGAAGAGGGTGAAATCAGGCTGCTCCTTGGAGGCAAGGATTCTGAAGCTTCATCTGTCATACTGTGGACATGTTGCAAGGCAGGACCAGTCCTTCGACAGGGATGTCATGCTTGGGGGGCGGGGGTGGTGGAGGGATAGTCCAAGAGGATAAGATCCTCGAGGAGATGGATTGATTCAGTGACTGGGGTAATGGTGGAAAGTGTGTAGAGACAATAAGATTGGCACAGCATAGAGCAAGTTTTAGGGCTGTTGTACACAAGGTTGCTATGAATCACAGGAGACTCAATGGCACATAATAACAACAACAACAACATTTATATATGCTGTTTTGTGACTTAATCCTCTTGTTTAGTGTCAGCAAGACATCCTGGAGGGCCTTTGATTTAAGGTGAGCCCCTTGTCTTCATTTTGGTGACTGGGTAACATGGAAGGAATCTGTAAGGTGGGCATGCTTGTTCTTCTGGTTGAAGGTCGGGTGGGGTGTCTGGCTGTTTTGTGACTTAGGCCTCTTGTTAAGTGTCAACAAGACATCCTGGAGGGTCTTTTATTTAAGGTGAGCCTTAATAATGATTTTATTATAATTTGGAGGGACATTCTTCTAAGTCATAAGCACTCTCCTGTCAATATGCGGTACTGAGGTAAACTGGGTTTTCTGTGATGCTGAATCCTGTGCCACTGGGGTGTCAAAAATGCCGTAATGGTTACCCATGGTGGATAGTGTTTGGTGGAGCTCCCAGTTTAAGACAGGTTTGGAAGCAGTAGTCTCATCTACTTCCTAAATCACATGCCTCTGGAAACTTTATGAACTTGGAGATATGCTAGTTACAGAAAGGCTTCAGGCCTTTTGTCCATAGGGTCTCTATGAGTTGTGCTCAACTCTACGGCAATCAACAACAACAACAACTCACAATAGTATTTTGAAATATGTGTATATATATATATGTGTGTGTGTGTGTGTTTATTGAAATTATATATAGTGAGATATATAGATATATATATATAATTGTTGTTGTTAAGTGCCATTGAGTCGTAGATGACTCATAGCGATCCTGTGAACAAAAGACCTGAACACGTGTATAACTTTGGTTGTTTCTCCAGGTTCATAGGGTTTCCGGAGGCAAGCTATTATGGAAGTGGATGCCACTCCTGCTTCCAAGCTTATGTTAATCAGTGTCACAGTGTTTAGCATCACAGCAACCACGAGTTACCTCTGTATGGCATTTCAATGTGCCATAGTGACTATAACAATAGGCTTGAGCACAATGAAGATGCTGAGGATGGCACAAGGTAGGGCATGGTTCAGATCTGTTGTCCATGGTGCTGCCATGAGTCACAGTTCACTTGGCAGCACCAGACAACAATATATATATTCGTGTTCTGAAAAAGAAAACCATGTTCATTAAGAAGATGGCAATAATAGTGTGAGATAGTTGGATAATAGCTATTTATTACATAAGCATGCATATAAGATACCCACTCATTACAAAAACAGAACCTCAAATGACATAGGCATAGAATGTAGAATGTAAACTATCTCCTCCCTCTCTCTCCCCCCCGGGGCATTACCATTGAAGCGAATTGGTTTCTTTGGTGATGAACATCTTGAATGACTTATCTGTACAGATGGATGCTCATCCTTCTTTACTCTGAGTAAATAACTTCATACAGATGTAAGTTTATAATTTTTTAAAAAATTTTATTTTATATAGAAGATCATATACATTTTTTTAAGAGCTGGCAGTGTTTTTGTCAACTTTCTTCTTGAGTTCAGAGAGGGTGACAATGACTATTCCGGCGAGTGTTCTCAAGCTGCGAAGGCTGAAGCCACAAGAAGCAGGATTCCCAAGCTTTTGGTGGATCTCCACAAGCAGCCTTGTTTGTCCTCTGGCCATTAGGTGCTGCCCCTTTGTAGTCACAGACGAGGGAAAGGCTCATCTCTTCTTGCCGAAGGGTGGGCCTCAAAACACTGGGCACTGCCTTTGGAACAGTATCCCCAGCTCAGCAGCAGAGAGTTGAGAATGGCAGGGAGCAGCGAGGAAAAACAAAATGCTTTTTTGGAACACAGGTACTCACCAGCCACAAAAAAACGGCTCTTCAATTAACAGATGCAGCCACAAACCATAGTTGTCCGTTGTGGGAAACTTACCGAGCAGGTGTGTGTGAAGGCAGCCTCACTAAATGTAGTATAGAAAGATCTAAGTGTATTACCCACTTACCTATCCATTAGTTGTGCTGAGGTGGAGGGAAGTGAGAGGAAGCAGCGTTGCCGTACTTTTGGCAATTTTAATGACCCTGCCCCTCTGTGCTTTTCTCTGCTGCTGGCACAGGCTTGGGCTCAAGCGATTGCTTGATAAAGGGTTTGTATAATTGGCCTTTCTGCCCTTACTGGGACATAAATCAAAGGGGGGGGCAAAGGTCACCTTATCGAATCTGTCCCTCTATTCCACTTTCAGAAACAAACACTGCAAGACAATTCTGTTAAAAATGAGCTCGTTATTGAGAGGTCAAATCTCTTTCTGTAAGTTCTGTTAGAGATGCTGCTTCATCCTCTAACATGATACCCAGGAAGTCACCTCCGCCACCCTCTTTTCTTCACAGCAGCCACTCAAACACTGGGACACACCTCCACCCCTTGCTAAGTGCCCTCGCGTCCAAGTCAGACATCTTGAACTCTTCCAAATCTCCTTCACAGAATGCAGATGGTGGGTCCTCTTCACTCAGTTCACCCCTCTGATGGAGGCACTGCAATTTTTAAACACCTTCACACTAACTATCCCTCTTAGATTATTGCTGGCTGCAACATTCAGCTGTGTCTTAACCCCTGCAGAGCAAGTCAGTCTATTTTGGAACACTATGATCTCTTGATTCACCCAAAATTGAGTTGGCATTTTGGTATCTAAGGGCTCCCTGCCAAATACAATGCTTACATCTTTTAGATCCTTACATAGTGCACTTGGGAAATTGATTTTTGGAAGCAACTCTGGCATCTCAAATGTCTTCCAATTAAATGCCATTGAAAGGTTATAGATCACTCCAAGATGTTGATTGTGAACTTCCAAGCCTTCATGTTGTTGTTATATACCATCAAGTCACTAAGAACTCACAGTGACCCTGTGCACAATAGTTCTGAACCCAGCTCTGTCCTGAGCCAATCTCTCTGTCTCTGACACATCTACCCCCATTACCTCAGTTATTGTGCCAATCCATCTCATCCAGGGTCTTGCTCTCCTTTGCTGACCCTCCACCCTTCCAAGCATGATATCCTTCTGCAAGGATCAGCCCTCTTTTCTCCCTGCCCAAAGTATGTAAGACAGAATCTCAAAATCTTGGCCTCCAAGGGACAGCATGGTTTCACCCACTCCAGGACAGGCCTATTTGTTCTCTTTGCAGTGTTTAGTATGTTCAATACTCTTCTCTCGTACCACAATAACATCAAAGCATCAATTCTTCTGTCATCTTTGCTCAGTGTCCAGCTGTCTGGTGCATAGCAAGTAATTGTGAAAACTATGGCCTGGATCAGGCACTCACCCAGTATATTAGCATTCTTTCCAGGAGATGATTTTGCTCTCTGTTTTCTTCCATGTCATTTCTCTGTCTCTCTCCAAAAGAACAGATAAGGTGAGGGTGTGTGTGTGTGTGTGTGTGTGTGTATGTGTTTACATGAGTATGTGAAGGTAAAGGGCACACAGTAGAACATGTGATCAGGGCAGGAAAGGAACAATCAGTGCTCATGAAATAATGACTGATGCCTTGATTTCTTTTCACCTTGTGATACCTCTGAAAATAAAGGGCAAAAGTACTTAAAAAAATTATATCAAAACTGAAGCCATGCTTAACACAGCAATCTCAAAACTTAATTTGAAAAGTGAATGTGTAGCAGTGGTTAAGTGCTGGCCTGACCCTCAAAAGGCTGATGGTTCAAACCCACTAGCCACTTCCTCGGTGGAAAATATATGCTTTTTCTCATATAAAGTTTGGGGATAATTTTTTTGTCTCATGAAATAGGCTTCAACTCATGTACAACAGACTAAGACCTTGCCCATTCCCTCAATCTCTGCTGTGTGTAAGGCGTGGTTGTCATCATTTTGTCTATCCATCTCACTGAATAAAGGTCCTCTTCTCCTATGGTGACCCTATCATGAAGATTGAAGCTTATCACAGAGATAATCTTAGAACCCTCATGGGGTAATTCTACCCTGTCTTAAAGGGTTGTTAAGCAACTACTTAATTGGTCTCAGAACACTGAGGAGTCATTTCATTATTTTGAAAATTGGAAAAGAAACAGAATGTGTCAAGGAGTTTTTGCCTTTTTTTCATGGGCCATGCTTGAGGGTAGCCAAGTAGTTTGAGAAGAAATCTCTCCTTAGAGACATGTTGTGTATAATAAGTATTCCAGATGGAATGACACACCACCATCAGCTGTGTAGAGTTTTGCAAACGAAAAACCAACCAACAAAATTCAAATTACTTTAAGCCTCTAGAAAGGAATACTGATTTACAGGAAACATAAAGAACAGAGAGACATGTCACATGAATACAACCAGCCAATGCCAGCTCTGGACAGCTCTAATAAACAAATATCCTATTTCTTTGATAACAACAAAAAGAAAGGGGGGACATTTAAATTATAAATTATATGACATATCAATCAGTTGTAAATTATGCATTTTGTATCTTGAGTCAAACAAACTAGAAAAGCAGTGATAAGACAATTGGGAGACTAGGAACACAAACTGGGACCTTCATATTAAGGAACTGTATTTAAGATGTGTGTGATAAGGATATTGTGACTCTGTATTGAAAATGTCTTCTCTTTTAGAAGGGAGCTCTGGGGATGTAGTCTATGATGAGTGCACTGCTATTCCAAATGCCATGCCTCTCAGTTGGTTCAAATCCATCACAATTCTGCAGGAGAAAGATAGGCAACCTCCTCTTGGGTGATTTATAGCCTCAGAAAAACTCACCACAGCATTAGCCATTTGTCCTAACTCCTTGGCAGTGCATTTAAGGTTTTTTTGGATTTTTTCCCCTCTAATTTATATCTTTTGGAGCTCTGTGTTTAGGACAGGATAGGGCTCAAAAGACTTTGGAAGCGAAAAAAGTATATAGGGTTAAAGTGAATGATAATGATCATTTAAGCTGGGTGACAAGTACTTCGGGCTTGCTGCCATTCCCTTTACTTTTGGAGTATGTGTGAAAATGTCCATAATGAGTGTTTTATTTTGTTTTTAAAGTCGATATACTTCCTTAATATTTGTTCTCTGAACAGTAACATATATTAGAGGAAAACAATGTTATCTTACCCGTCACAGTCAAAAAGGTCAGAGAGATGAGGAGGTTGACTCCCCAGTTCATGCTAATCGTTAAGGCCATGGCTCGTCCTCTCACTCCACCAGGAAAAATCTCACTGAGCACCAGCCAGGACACTGAAAGAAGCGCAGAGGGGGACAAGGACAGGGATTAATGAAAAGCCACTGAGGCTGTCCAAGCCCCTGCCTGGAGCTGTGATTGGAAAGCCAAGGCACTTTCTTCCCCAGGCAGGAGAGAGGAGTGCTGTGTTTCTCCTCACCTCCAGCCAATGCGAAAGGATTTAGCAGAGGAATCCGGAGAGCTCTGCACAGATCCCAAGGAGTCAAGAAGGACAAAAGACACGAATATCTGATGCAGGCCTGAGAAATGCAAACAGGAAACCGGACCGAGACTGGAGCTCCTACCTGGTGGCAACAGGAGACGTAGCTCTGGCCATCTGCCAAGCCAGTGACACTAATGCCAGATACCAGCTGTACCTGCTACGAGATGGCTTCCTCTCCCGAAGGCTCCTTTCCCTTTGACCTTGGAGAAGTCTAAAATCACAGCTAATGAGCAGGTACGAAAAAGAGCTACACGGTGAGAGGAAGCCACTGATGCTCCCTTCCCCTCTCCTGGCTTCCTGCCTTAGAGCAAAGACAAGCGAAGGTGGAGGAAAATCACTGTAAATTAGATAGTGCTCCAAATTTGATTATTCTACCAGAGGAAACATTTTGATTTCTGAAATGAGACTCTTCCTGGCACTAAAGCAAACCAGAGGACTTTATATTATCTTAGAGTGACAGAGAATGTTATGGGACCTGTTTGATGGGCTTAGAAAGGGTGACTGAGAGGTAAATTAACTTGTCTTCTGTTCACAATCCAGTTTACTTAATCAAACAGTTCTACTCTCACTGTGGGCTAAGGACTTTATAAGCATTCTCTTACTTGATATTCATAGATACTCCACAGGGCAGGAGAGATGAAGATCTCTCTTTGACCAGAGAGACAATGAGGCTGACAGGAGCTAATTACAAGGTTACCGAGCTTGGAGGGGGCAGAGACCTGTGAGCTTTGGCATTCAGACTTTGCAATATATGCTTTTTTAATCACTTGGCATGCTTTACTGGTATCAGCTCAATAAACATTTGTTAATGAAAAAAAAACTGTGTAGAGTATAAGTACCTTTGATTCTGAGGAAAATAGTTCTGAGAAGGTGCCCACAACAAGCCCGACTCCCTGCTGACTGACGCCCCTTGTTTCATAAAGTCAGAATTTATACACTGACCAGTGTCTGTGGGATACGTATGGTTAAAGTTCTGGGCTGTTAACGAAAAGGTTGGCAGTTTAAGTGTTCCCTGAGACAGTTCAAAAGAAAGGCCTTCAATTTGTTTCCGAAAAATCAGTTCTTGAAAGCTCTACAGAGTGTACTTCTGTGCCGCACACAGGATGACCAAGAGTCCTAATTGTCTTGACAGCAAATGGGACATTTCTCAGCCAGCCCCAAAGTCCTGGCCCAGAAGAGGAAGAAGCAAGAAACCGGGAAGAGGTTCCCCTCCCAGCAACCACTTGGGCCGTTTGTGCCAGAGCTGAGCTAGCTCTGCCTATATGTAAGCAGTGACCCTCTCTTGGCAGGATCATATTCTGTAGAGAAAACATCTGCTTGCAGCAAATTGGCTGTTTTGAAATGAGACCAGTAAACTAAATCACAGAAGAAGGCGGAAAAATGTTTTTCTTGCCATCTTGCCCAAATGAATCTGTATGGGAGATCATTGTAGCAAATGCAATGTGATTATTTTTGTTTTAAACAGTGGGAGGTTAAGAAATAAAATTCCACACAACCTCTCTACTTTCTCCCCTCCCAAAAGACCTGCACTGGGTTCTGGGAGATTATATTCTAGGTGGAAGCTCTTGCTCATGCAATGATGGCTTGAGCTTTGTTATCTCTGCATTAGGGATTTATCTCTGCTCGGAATGACTTCTGTGGAATTTTGGCAAGGTCTTTACAGTGAAGACTTGTCCTTGGCCTAATACAAGATATAATTTTATAAATTTTAGTTTTAACCTAAGTAACAAATGCACGGATGAGTTTCCTGATGTCCCTCAGGCCACCGGTGAAGGTTTCTTACAGCGTTTTGTTTTTTTTTTCTCTAACAGCAATAAGGAGGAGGATAGAGGAAAGAGTTCCCTTCCACTTCCTTTTGAATAAAGATGTTAGAGCACATTCTCTTGCTCCACCTCACCCCACCCCATCATCTCTCAGCCTCCCCTCTTTCTCCATCTTCTATCTCCTCTGGGAATTATTTGGTGGGTTTTGGGATAATCACTGATGGGGTCATCAAAGTCAAGTGGAGCTCAGAAGAGAATGAGCTGTCCTACTATTGAAGAATGTGGTGAATCAAGCTATTAAGAATTTAGTTTCCCACCTTGCTGCGTCCACCCCTCGCTGCGACTCTCTGTGCTCCCAGCAGAGCGATGGTGGACAGGCTTGGACTGGGGCCGTTGCTCCTCCCCACATAGATTTTTTAAATGGCGTGCCACAATTGAGTAATTCCTCCCAGTATGCCTCGGTTGCCACACAGTCACCCAACACCGCCACCAAGGGAAGTGGCGGTGTTCTGCAATGCACAGGCAGTCTCCTTGTGGTCTCACTCTCCCTTCTACATCTCTACTGTTAAAAAAACTCGGGCCAAGAAATGCCTCTACTTCTCCATTTTCTCAACTCAATCGAAATGGCACCCACACCTTATTTTATTGACCCAGAAAAATGTTGAGACTCTCTGATTTCACTGATTTGAAGAACATGTGAAGAGCTTGACAAGATGATGAATGCCAGCATCGTATGTGGTGGAGTTTCCTGTACTAAATGAACAGCAACAATGTCCACAAGTCTAGAGATGATTTCCTTAAATGAGGCCTAGGAAACCTGGACACTTACAACTACTTTAAAAAAATAAAGAATAGTTTTATCTAGAAATAAAAAAAAATTTGTTTTGCACTTCCTCAAAAAGCTGAACATAGAAATTCCATATGACCCAGCTGGTTCACTGCTTGGTTTATACCCCGAGAAAATGAGAACTGAGGCACAAATGGAAATTTGTGCATCAATGTTCATAGCAGCATTATTCACCATCCCCAAAACATAGAAACAGCCCAGATGCCCAACCACAACTGAATGAATTCAGAAATTATGATACATTCATACAATGAAATACTACGCAGCACAAAGGTGCAGTGATTTTTTTTTTTAAATTATTATCTAGCTTGGGAGGGAATGGAGAGCATTATGCTGAGTGAACTAACTCAGACCCACAAGGACAAATATTGTATAAAACCATTATCCTATAGTAAGTATGAGGATTCAAGTGGTGTGGGAGGGGGAAGAAGCAGCGGGAAGAGGACGTGCAGGGGCAGGGTAGAATTACTCATGGGGTTGTACAATTTGATGAGAGGTGAAATTTGAAGAATCTGGTCTGAAAAACAATGTATTTTAATTCTGTAAATAAACTAGTATAATAAAAAAATTTTTAAAACCCAACAACCTAATGACTAAAAAAAAAAAGTACAGAGCAGTTGCACAAAGAATTAGCTGCGTGTGCTCAATCTGAACTGTCAGGAGCTAGCAGAGAATTCAAGATGCACACTGAAAATTTGTCCTAAGTGTGGAACAACATCTGAGCCAGGATCTTGGGCAGACTAACCTACCTGTGAACAATGAACCAAACACTGAAGAGAAATTTCCATGAGTTCCTGTACTAAAAGGAAGGAACTTCTTGTCGGGCAAACACTGTGCCTGACATTCTCAAGGAAAATGCACCATTCATTGCAATGGAAAGAATTTTGGAATTGAAGCCTTGGCATGTTTAATATTAGCAGACTGCATTGAAACAAATGACAAATAGTTTGACAAGGATAGTTCAATCTCCCAAAATGGTGCCTATCAAATAAATATAAAGGAGAATATTATCTTTACAATGATCCCGGCACCATTAAATCACAATTTTTTAAAATAAAGATTTTTTTCAGATGGAGAATAGCATAAAAGTCTGAAAGTGGTGCTTATAGCAAGATGGAAATTACTGCACCAAGACTTTCCATGGATCACTGAGGAACAAGATGCAGCAAGGTTCTCACACACCTAAATATTCTAAGGAGAGAAGTTATGAATTCTGAATGCCTAGAACAGAAAGAAGTTCTGCTTCAGTCCATAGTTTAAAAGCACAGGGGAATAAATCACCATAGGAGAATTTAATGTATTGATGATTATAATAACAGGTGGAAGTTTTCTGAAAAGCACTGGTGCTTTTGTCAATAAGATGATCCAATTTCTCCCCAGGGAAAATCAAGTTATTCCAACACATGAAGACTTCCTGTCACCAGCCAATAGAAACAATGATTCTCTCTGGTCATCACTGCATCAATACATAAAAGGAAGACATCCTCTCTGTCCTTTAACTTAATAATAAAACCTTCTATGGTCAAAAGGAGTCAAACTTTGGAAAAGGACATCATGCTAGGAAAGGTGGAGGGTCAGCTGAAGAGAGGAAAACCTTCAACAAGATGGACTGAAGTAGTGACTGTAATAATGGGCTCAAGGATTTTAGGGATTGTGAGGAAGGCACCGGATAGGGCAAGGTTCAGATCTGTTATTGATAAGGTCACCCGTGAGTTATTGATGCCTTGATAGCATGTATCTAAAAACAACAAATAACCAGGAGTGCTCTGTCCTGTTTGTGAGAAATCCACATTCCATACATTGATAAAACAAGATACATTAACCCTTTAGGAAAATATCCATTAATTTTGGTAAAGCCTGAAACAATTCTTTTTGATTCTTATTATTATATTTTCAGCTCCATTATTCCAGAACTACCTCAACAATTTGTACCCTGTAATATCTCAATAATCATCATCAACAACAACAATATCTCGATATGCCCAGGTTGTTAAGGTCTTCAACAAATGATGAAATTTTGAACTTGCTAAGGGTAACTGTTAATGGTTACCGGTGATTAACTTGGTATTAAACAGCCAGTACTGCCCACCATAATTTACCTGATCATGATGAAGCCTGAAGACAGTGTGCTTATGGCTGCATGTTGTTGTTATTGTTGTTGTTGTTATGCACCATTGAGTCGCT